TGTAAAACACCCCCCCGCTTTCGTTTCCTTCTAGTGGGAGCCGATTTAGGGCAGGTATTGCGGATCCGAGGGTCCTAACTTTTCATTACGTAAGGCGAGATATTCGCATCTAACGGGCTGTTACAGCCATTTATTTTTTTTTTTTTTCTTTTTGACACCGGAGTTTTTCATTTTTGGCAGCGGCTCCTTCTCCCAGCCCCGCGGACACACCCATGCCAGCCCTCCTTCCTCAGCCTCGGAGGCAGAAAAGCGAGCTCGGAAACGGAGCTTCCAAGTGTGACATTAGTGCAGGAGCTGCCGGGCTGGGTGCTTACGTTTGCAGTGATGGTTAGGGAATGCAGAGGATGCACCAAATCGCTATGTGAGAAATGGAGCATCCTCTTTTTTTCTTCTTTTTTTTTATTTGAGGAGGGGGGTATGTGTGGGGAGGAATAGTTTCTCTCCAGGAGTTCGATGGTAGAGAGTTTAAAAAGGTGCCTGCGTTTAAATAGCGATGAAGGTTACTGCTGAATCGCTGTCACGGGCCAAAAGTAGCGTGACGCATTTTTCTTCTGACTGACTGCTCTGATTTATGTTGCGTGCGCCCAGTGCCATTCCCTTGTAAAGGTAAAAGGTGGAAAAAATTAGATTCTGCTCTTATTTGCTGCTGTATAAACCCAGAATCGATCTACGGAGATGAACGCTCGAAGAAGCAGCAGGATAATCAGTGTCTAGCTGTCCTATTTTGATGGCATCAGTAGGATAAATATATACAGATTTAGAGGCAGGCCCTCGCACGGTCGCAAACTGCCTGCGCTTTTGTCTCCAAGGTGGTTGGAAGCAGCAGAACTGATTTCAGAGCCGGCGTTCAGCCGCAGAGAACCTCTCCGCTAGCAGAAGCGTTCCCAGCATCATTAACATTGTCCAGGCTGCATTTGTGTTGCTCACCATATATATTTTTTTAAATTTTCTTTTCTAATTGATGCCCGGTGCATTAGGACTTGGGCTGTCAGTGACAGCGGCGGCTGAACTACTCGATTTCAGCTGTAGCCGGGCTTTTTAATAGCCCAAGGAGTCTGCACTAGAGGTGGGCATAAATGCTGCAGTGTTTCTGGAAATGGTAAACATGTAGGGCAGTTTGCCGTAGGAGCCAGCGTTGAAAGACAAGTTGTTTTTTCACGCCTCAAGTTAATTCATTCAAGCTTATTGGCATTCGCAGCCAGATCCTAAATTTAAATCTTTTCTTTCTTTGTTTTTTTTTTAAATTGGTGCTGTTATTCAGGGAAACTCTGCGTTGCAGCAGTAGGAGGAAGGAGAAGGGAAAAAAGGAGGGGGAAGACATCTCCCAGATGTTTAGCAGTTATATAAAAGATGGGTATAAGGGTGTAACTCACTAGCTGATGCAATTCATGTAGCCCGTTTGGTGTTAAAAGAGCCATTTCGGCTCGTGTCAGATGAGTGTCAGGTGCTCCGGCTCTTCAGTTTTATTGTAAACTCGTCGGGAAAACGCCTGATTTTTCTATTTGATCTGCAGAGTCCCAGCTCAAAATACGGGCTCTGAGCACTGCTGCCGCTGTCCTATATATATTTGCTGTACGGTCAAGGCATCGCCGACTTAAAGTCCTGCTTTCTGCCCGTTCTTGCAGCCTGCTGGTTTCACCAGCCTTTGGCTGTGCCGGTACCTTTGTTCTCTTACAAAGACGTTTTTGAGAGGAGGAAGGAGAACCAGAGTAAGTGCCAGTGCAGATACGAGGGCCAAGGTGTGGTTTAAGCCGAGCGCTGCGTAACGCCTGTGAGCTTTGCTTTAAATCACGCATCTGTAATGTGGGGAATGAAGAGGAACTTTCCTCCCCATCTAGAGCTCTGCAGAGGGTTTCACTGGTTATGGCTACTGCAGGAAAAAAAAAAAAAGGTACAGTGGGTTTTGATGTAAAATCTCGCAAAAGCGCGATGTCACCTGGGCTGTGATGAAAGCGCATCGCCTCGCAGCTGCCTCGCTGAGGTTACCTTTCTGCTCCTGCCTCCAGTCTTCGAACTGGAGGGAATTTTTAAATGCTTCCCTTCAGCACATATTAGCAAATTAATTTTATTTATGCAGTAGTGCTCTGCGAAAGGCAGTAAAAGCATCCACTGCCTTGAAACATCACTAAGTTGGACCAAAGGAGTTTGTTTGTGTTGTGTCACCCCTGGCAACAGCGTTTTGGTCCATATCCCTGCCGGGTGTTGACTCACACTTGGCCAAGCCGTGACTTCAGTGTGTGGGTGCACATAGGAAATTTTGCATACGACCAAGGCAGAAAAAAAAACATAGAGATGTGGCTATTACGCATCCCTCAAAGTGTAATTTAATGCTTTTGCTGTAGGTGATGGTGGCAGACTGCAGGTATGAGCGAAGCTGCCAAGCAGACGAGCCCGCTGGAACCTGACTGCTTTTCCATTCTTTTTTTTTTTTTGATCCTTAGCGTGATTAAAGGACTCGCAGATGAAATAAAATATTTTATCTTTCCAGTTGAAAGTGCAGCGGCTGACTGGTGTTTTGACGTGCGCTTTTGAATAATGCAGAGGTTGTTTCCATCCTGGCTCTTTTATCTCTGAAGTGACGCGGCCGACTGTCAGCTTTCTCGCCGAGTAATTCTGTATTGTTGTATGCTTCTTTGTTGCAGAGCGATCGTCTTTTGATCAAAGGTGGTAAAATAGTTAATGACGACCAGTCTTTCTATGCAGACATTTACATGGAAGATGGGTTGATAAAGTAAGTGAAGCCTGATACAATGTTATGATTGGGAGCGTTCAGAAACGTACTGCAGATTAGCAAGGAATGGCTCAGTCTCGGCGAGCTCTATTAAATTGCAATGAAAAATGAATATTTCGCATATATCCTGGTGTTTGATGGAGGAACTTTAAAAACAAGATGTTAAATTAAAGAAACAAATGGGCTAAAACCCCACTGTTATTAAAAGTGGGTCAAAGGAGGTGCTTTCATGTGCTTAATTTTAGCCATGTGACTAGCCCCATGCTGAGAGGACACATATGTTTGAAGTTATCCCTGTTGTAACTTTTTACTGAGTTATGACTTAAGATACTTTGAATCCAGAGTTCAGCATCCAAAGGCAGTTTTAGGAAGGGAGGCTGGACTTAGGTGACCTCTGGAGGTCTCGTGCAGTGCCGACTTCTCGGATTCTCTGATGCAAGGATCAGTCCAGCCCCCTCGAAAGTTAAAAATCATCCTGTAGTTCAAGGATTGATGTTCAGACCTCTTTGCAGCACGCTTCTGTGTTTTTAGTGCTGAAACACGCATTTCTGGCTTGTTAAATATATTACAGATTTCTTTGGAAAATTACTGTTCGGAAAAAAATGGACAAGCCAGAGGTTACAAACAAGGAATTTTCCTGTTCCGGCTGAACGGTCAGCACATGTGGTTTGTTAATCAAGGTTAAAAGTTAAAGGAGCCAGCCAAAGACAGATAATTAATTGCACTTTAAAGAATATGTTTGTGAAGAGCTAGACTGGAGAGAGGCTCTTGTCAGGAATTTGGTGCATCCGCACGGGTTTGTGTTGGTGCAGGCACTACGTGATATTTATGTGTGAGGGGAAGGTAGGCAATATAGAGGCAAAAGTTCTTCCAGTGCTCCCCAAACAACACTAAGATCTAACCCGCTGTTAGACAGCTAGAATCAAGTGCTGAGCTCCCACTTGGCAACCCCAACAAAGCTGCTCGCGAGGCTTTTTGTCTGGTTGTCCGCAAGGTCCCGTCTCCAGCTGCCTGCTGGTCCGTGGGGCTCCTTCTTCTCCTTCCTGTTAAGTCTAATATTGCCCTGAGGGCCTGAAGCAGTTGCACTCTTTGGTCTCAATGATGCAACTGCTTCAAGGGGGAGAATAAAATATTATCGGCTCTCTGTGCTGATCTTGTATGTCGCTTTATACGGAAAAAGAAAAGGCTCGCCAGGATAAGTAGCACAGGGGTGTATGTTTACAGGCTGGTCACCTTGTTTGTGTCTGACTTGCTGTCTGAAACCTCTTTGCCCAGGCAAATAGGAGAGAATCTGATTGTGCCAGGGGGAGTGAAAACTATCGAAGCCCATGGCAGGATGGTGATTCCTGGAGGGATTGACGTTCACACCCGCTTCCAGATGCCGGAGCAGGGGATGACATCCGCTGATGACTTCTTCCAAGGGACCAAGGCTGCGCTGGCTGGGGGCACCACCATGATCAGTAAGCTGGCTGGTTTTTCTCTTCTAAAAAAGCTTTTGTCTTTCTCAGATAAGTACAGAAACCGTGGGCTATATAAATCACCTGGTATTTTGGACCAGGTACCAGCAGTGGGGCGTTTGTGTTGTCTAGCCAAGTTGCCGAGAAAAGTTTGTGTAGGGGTGGAAAAGCAAAAACCCAGGATTTCCACATCTTGCACTTGTCTGTCCCTTTGCTCTTCTCTGCTGGCAGGGCTTCCTTTGCCACTTGTGTGGCTTTGCGAGATTCTTGATTCTGCTTCTACTGAAACCAGTGCTTTGACCTCTGGCTCCAGTATGAGCAGGAGATTCTCCACATTCCTGCACCTCATTTCCTTTCTGCCGATGTCTGTGGACAGATCGCCATCATACGGGTCACACCCAGAGGCTTGATGCCAGTGTCCTCTGTGCCTTGAAAAATCGTGCCACTTATTGAAGGATTTGCACATGCCCACTTATGTTGCACACTTTTAGCACCAGGATTTTTGTTAGCGTTGTTCCTTTTGCGCTCATATCCTCTTTTGAAGGAAGAGAGAAATCGGGAAATGAAAACGTCTCAAAATAAAAAGACAGACAGACTGACTGACACCAGGATTAGACGCTTTTGGTGTTCCCCTCTGGTCTAAAATGCCTCATGAGTGACTTCCAGGCTATCTGTCCCCACTTACATTGGCTACAGATGCTTGGCTTGTCAGAGCCGGGACCTTAAAACTCCCTGAGTCATTGTTGAGCTAGAGGAAAAAAAATAAAAAAACCTCTGTTGCAGTGCAGCCGATCACATGTAAACTGTAACACGGCGTCCTGGAGTCTGTTGCTGCAAGGATAAAAGTGTAAAGTGACACAATATCTGAGCATCTTGCATTCTTTCGTGTCCTGCGAGGTGCTGCTGTTGCGCAGGTGGGGAGTTACTGCACAGGTGGGGAGTTAGGGTACAGAGAGAGAAAAGAGCGCGGTTCAGAACTGGCACTAGTGGCTCTTGTGGGATCCCTGGGTGTGGAGAGATCTTAAGCACAGCCAGGAATCGGCCTGACTCTCCTCAGTTCAAGCAGACCTGGCACTAGTGGCTCTTGTGGGATCCCTGGGTGTGGAGAGATCTTAGGCACAGCCAGGAATCGGCCTGACTCCTCAGTTCAAGCCTCACTCCTTACGGACTGGAATGTCGTCGTCTCCTGGGGGATGGCTGCGAGTGATCTTCCATCCCTGGCTCAGAGGGTGGGTTTGGGTTGGTTGGGTCCAAACACAGCTTCACTGCCTGTGTTTCGGAAACACGTGTTTTTCTGGGTCCAGACCTTGCAAAGAGGTTTTGTTTGGCCTGTGAACTTGGTCTAATGCTTCAAATAAATAACCTAAAAATAACCCAGGATACTATTTTTTCATAATATTATCACTTTAGAGTATGATGTTGGTGTGTGAAGATAACCTCACATGTACAGAGAATGTAAAGTGGAAATGTAGCTGTGGTTGGTCTTGTTGTGTGTACTAATATCCAGTTTTTTCTTCAAATCTTTGCTGTCAATTTAAATTAATAACACTAAAACGCTATTTTCTTTTCAGCTTCACTTCACTGACTTTGTTTCACTGGTTGTTCCTTTGTTAGTAGTACACCTGGTTCACACTCGAGTTATCATTTTGTTCTTCATTGTTAAGCTGAATTAGATCAAAATAGCATTCTCTGTTGCCTGCATCTGACCTTTCAGCAGCAAAGGGGCACTTTAAAAAACATTTTAGGCAGAAATCGCTTAGATAAAATTCTCTGAAGTAGCCCTTTGCTATGGTTGCCCAATGTTAAAAAGCGGCACAGCGTAGGCTGTGACTGTGGGCAGACCTTACTGCCTTCCCGAGCGCTTCGGATTAGGACACCAAAATAGACAATTCGTCTCTGAGCCGAAAACGTCGTCCTGAAGGACGGTGATGGCGCTGCTTGGGATGATGGAGAGACGGTGCTGATGGGAGGGTGTCGGCAGCTGGAGCTGAACGGTGGAAAGCAGGATAAATAATCCAACTGGACTTCAAAGCTTTGCAGACTCGTCTCTGTGGCAGCTCGGCTGTTCCCTTCGTAGCAAAATTATACCATTTGCAAAAATGTTTTTCCACGGTGAAGTGCGCAGAGCTGCCCTCGTGGACAGGTTCTTCATGGGTGGCCTTTGGTTCTTCCCAAAGCAGGTGGAGCTGGGGGGGGGGTTGGTCAAATGTCAGCCTTTTTTCTTTTAGGATAGATAGGACAGCATTTAGTGAACTCGGTCATAATATCGCAAGCAAATTGCAGCCCGAAAACGTGCTTAATGACGTTGTATATTTTAAATACTGTGCCTGGGGCTCCTCTCCTAGAAATGTGGCCAGCTGGGTGCCTCTGTCCCTTGGGCTTTTTTGGCAAAGCTAGCCTCATGGATGCAAGGTTTGTGGGAAAAACCACCAACGTTTCTTCATTTGTGCTTTAAGCAGAGCTTATGTTATTTATTTTTAAGTACCTTTACCCAATCTGTTTTTCTCTCTTATACGTAGCCCTCATTTCGGGCACTTAAACAGGTTAGCTGGCTTCATGCTTCAATTTGCTTCACATTTGCCTGCAGGGAGGGTACTTTAAGGCTGTTTACAGTCATTGCAGGCTCATTTTCTGTACATTTTTCCAGTGAAATTAAAACAAGACCCTTGGATGGGTTCCTATTGATTATTGGTTTTGCAAGAACCGCGGGTGAAATCCTGGCTTCGGCAAGGTAACGAGGAGTTTTGTTGTTGACCTCAGCAGTGCCAGGAATTCACCCTGAAAAACAACAACCCACTTTCATTTTTTTTCAGCTCTGATCAAATTCAACATTGTTCCTTTAATTCTTCTCACAAACCCATCCAAGGGAAGCACACAGGAGTTCAAGAATGTAACCTATTGTTTCCAAGCCCTGCTCTCATCTGCTTCCGTTCCCCTTTAAAGCAAATCCCTCGCTACAGCGTCACGGAGCGGAGAATCTGAGTCCCAGCTCGTGTCAGTTGGAGCAGCCCCGTTTTCCTTGTGGGACCAGTGGAGGTTTGTCCTGGTGGGAAGCACACCTGGCGTGATCCAGTGCTTCCCAGCTCGTCCCCTGGTGAGCTGGAGCGAGGGAGGTGATCAGAACGAGCCCTTTTCTGCTCTGCATCACCTGTATTGCCGTAGGGCTCATTGCTTTCCTGAGCCCTCCTCTGGGTTGCTTCTCTCAGGAGTTAGGGCTGATTTCTTTTTCTAGCTGCTCATTCCTCAGAGGCCATCTGAACAGGAATTCCAGCTATGATCCTTCTGTCTCTACCCTCTTCAGTGCCAAAGGCAAGACTCCAGCTGACTTTGCTGACGTCTGAAAAAAATCTGGTTGGTTTTGCTGCATGGAGCTGCCGCGAGGTGAAGTGACGTGTGTCATAGGATGGTTTGTTTTTCCGAAATCGCAGTTTGCATGATCCTTTCCCTGTCCCTCCTTACAAATAATATTAGTTGTGGGTACATCAGCTGAAGGCGAAGAGCACTGCTCGATTTTTAGGATACATTATCCTGGAAAAAAACTTGGAATGTCGCCCTTTGGAAATGTCAGAATGCAGTGTTTGGGCATTAAGTTGAAGGGAAGATTCCAGGATGATCCACAGAAGGCTTTGGAGAAGAGTATTAGATAGGCTCCAGCTCATTCAGGGGAGCTTCCCTGTCTTCCAGGAAAAGAGAACAATCCTTCTGGAGCTTTGGAAGAAAGGACTCTGTCTGAAGTTGCTGTGTACAAGAGGCTCTTTCTCCTCTGTGGAGCCTAGTGGTATACTTGAGCCCCTGTTGCCCCAACTTGGGGTAGGTTGGTGCCCGAGGATGTAAACCTGGAGCTGTTAGAGAAGGAAGGTATCGCTGCTAAGAACTCTCCAAGTTTTGAGGTGATTTGTTCACTTCTTAACTCTGGTGGGTGAAATCCCCATCAAAACTCCCTCTGGTTTCAGTGGAGGCAGGATTGCCTTTCTCTGCTCCTCACCCTTGAGAAAAGATGAAGCTAAGCTGTGTGTATTTGCCGACTCTCTGATCCTCTTGCCTGTTTAACGTCCTAGTGAGAACTGCATCTATCTCACACACATTTCAACCCCTGCTCCCGACAACTCTGCTCTTCCTGGGTATCTGCTGTCCTTGAGTGAGATGGTTTGCTGACATTGCCTGTGTTGACTCAGTCAACCACTGTTATAACCACAGAGAGAAATTACAGTGAGAGAAATTACAGCTCTTCCTAGCTTGGTGACTTGGAAGCCAGCTGCCTTTGGAACGTGCCTAGCAGCTATCCTAGTAACCCGGAGAACGTACGCCTTTGTGAGCCCTTGTACTTGGGGAAGTTCAGAGAACGAAGGAGAGCTCACGTGCGGGCTGGCGGAGGTTTTCAGGAGGCTGGTAGCTGCTCAGCTACAATTGCATTTGTAGGGAGTTGACACCAGATCGTGCTGAAGATTGCTGGAAGTTTCCAGTCTAGCATGCTTTGTCACCTCTCGACTTCAGAGCTGAGCGTAACTTGAGAGAGTGGGGCCACCCCGAAGGAGATCAGTCCCAACTGCAAAGTGAGCTTAAAGTAGGGTTTAGGAAGGGGCTGGGCAGATGCAGCGTGGCATGGGGTGGTATTTAGATCCACGGGTGAAAACTAGATCATGTTCTATTCTACTGGGTGCTCCTATTCCATGTTGTTGGGGTTGGTCCTGGAAGAGAGCAAATGGTGAGTGAAGGAGGAGAATGGAGACAGAGAAGGAGGTGACAGCAGTTGTGCAGGAACTTGTGGCTGGGCTGGAAGCATAAAACCAAGCGTTTTGAGTCCGAGGGGGCAGTGACCGCAGAGCTGCCGTGTCTCACTGAGTCTCTGTGGCCGGGCGTACGCGGCATTGCATCGTTCCGCAGACACCAGCCGGAATTTTCGCTTTGCACCCAGTAACAGAGGAAAAAGGGGAACTGGGCGGTTGGGCACCAGCACTTCAGCCGCGCTGCGTTGGGGTGGATGGCCCGTTTCCCTTTTTAGC